GATGATGGGCTCAAGTATAGCAGGGATTGTGGGGCTGGCGCGGGATCGGGCAGTGTTTCATTCTGCTGTGCATGGGGTCGCTATGAGTCGGAAATGACTCGAGGGCACTTAACAACAACAACAACATCACTACGGAAGTAAATTGCCCCATCTTCCTTCCAAGGAGTGGCTGGTGGGTTTGAACCGCCAGCCTTCTGGTTCACTCAAATGCAATGGTATTTTTTGTCCCCTCCTCTCCCAATAGCTATCTTTCATGGATGTTAATCAAGAAATCTACTGTCATCACATTATATCTTAAAAGGTATGTTGTTGCTGTTGTTATCTGACGTCGAGTCAGACCTGACTCATAGAGACCCCTCCTTGGGTTTCCAAGGCAGTATCACCACGGAAGTAGATTGCCCCATCTTCCTTCTGAGGAGTGGCTGGTGGTTCAAACCACCAGCCTTCTGGTTAGCAGGCAAGTGCCTTAGGCACTATGCTACCAGAGCTCCCAAAATATTTGGCAAATATTTGTGTATGTCATTTCCAAGAACATGTAGTTATAGGAAAAACAATTCTTCCTCAGTTTCAACTACGTTAATGTTTAAAAATTACTGAAAGTTAAAATCCATATTTTCTTCCACATATTATAACCTTTTAAAAAGACATTTAAACAGCAATCTCCTGAAATACAAATAGTACAATTTCATTCCTATAAGAAAATACCTAGTGTTGAACAAGTCAATATATACTGTGTTTTTGAAAGTGTAAAGAGTTCATTCTCAGACTAAAATATTATAGGTAATTCCTATGGATCAATAACAAATAATTCAAAATTGTAAACTCAGTCTAATCCAAACGCTTTCTCTTTTACTGCAGAGTAAGACATTATTCAAAGAAATCTACATTGTGTTCACAAAATGGTGGTAGAAATGTTTATGAATAGCATCATGACATGGTGCAAGAGTACTTGATTAAAGTCTGAAGACATTATTACTACATAATAACTACTCTTGGGTCCAAACCTTGCTGCTTTTTTTGGGTACATAATGGCCCAATGTGACAGAACAGAACTACCCCATAGCATTTTTCTGAACTGTAGTTTTGGTTTTTTTAACATTTTATTGTGATTTGGATGAAAGTTTATAGGGCATTTTAGTTTTCCATTTAATAATTTATATATATATATATATATATATATATATATATATATATATATATATATATATATTTGTGATACTAGTTTCATTCTCCTCAGTATAACAGTCCTCTTCCCACCTATTTCCCATTTCCATTCATCCTTCTTTCCTTTTCTGCCTTCAGAACTTCATTTTTGGGCAAATGCTGCCCTTTTAGTCTCAGATGTTTGATTGTTCTAAAGAGTACATTAATCATGGGTATTATTTTTCCCTTTATAGGCCTGTTGATTTTTGCCTAGAAGGTGATCCCCAGGAGGCAAGAGCCATAGTCTCAGGGGTTCCACCAGTCTCTATCAGACCTATAAGTCTGGTCTTTTTTATGATTTTAAATTTTGTTGTACACTTTCTCCCACTCTGACCAGGACCTTCTATTGTGATCTCTATCAGAGCTGTCAGTAATTGAAACCAGACTCCGTCTAGTCCTTCTGATATTAGGCTACTGAAGGTTGTGGTTTGCATGGTCCATTAGACCTTTGGACTAATGGTTTCCTTTGATTTTCCTCACTCTTCTTTGCTTCAGACAGGGAGTGACTAATAGTTGTCCCTTAGATGGCCCCTCACAAGCTTTTAAGACCCCAGTCACTACTCACTGAAGTACAATGTAGAACATTGTCTTTGTAGACAGTGTTGTTTGTTTGTTGTTTGACTGTAATCTTGAGGGAAGCAGATCCCTAGGCCTCTCTCCCCTGAGCCACTAGGTTAATAGCATAATTCCATAACTTGCTACCTATGTTCACATGAGCTAGAAACTTAGTAAGTTTCCTCTTTGATGACATGTATTGTTGTTGTTAGGTGTCATCAAGTCAATTCCAACGCATAGAGACTCCATGTTCAACAGAGATAAACACTGACCAGTCCTGAATCATCCTCAAATCTTTGCTATATTTGAGTCCTTTGTAGCAGCCATTGTGTAACTCATCTCATGAAGGTCTTCCTCTTTTTCACTCACCCTCTAATTTACCAAGCATGATGTCCTTCTCCAGAACCTTGTCCCTCCTAATAACAGGAAAATTGTGAGGAACATGTGACAAGGAGTTACAACATCAACACCAGCAAAAAACAGCAGATTCCTATAGCCAAAAAGTTGTATAGGTTGAGGACGATTTTTCTCCAGTAAGATCAAAAATGTCCATTTAAGTGCAAGAATTATCATTCCTAGTGATAACAAGATAAAGAAACATTAACAAAGCATAAACAAAGGCTCACTTTTAATGATTGGATGGATAATTGAGTTAAAATCTACGTGTTATACTTTACATTTAAATTCATTTGTATTCAAATCCATCATGTATAATCTCTATTCTGTTTCCCTAAGGGAGAAAATAAAATTGAAAAGAAATCTCTCAAAACCAAGATGCCTGCAGTCACATTTGAAGAATCACACACCCAAATACCAGGTCAGAAGATAATCTGTAGACAAAGAACTAAAAAGTAAATGTCAATTTCTCTGAAATGTGTTGTCTGATAAAAACGTTTGCCATAACAAGGTAAATTATCTAAGATCACTCCTCAGAAGATCTGAATATGTACAAACATTTTATTTCTTTATTCATTCACTCATTCATCCATTCAGTGAGTACTTTTTAAAAACATCTACCATGTGTCAAGGACCATTCTATGGGCTAGAAATGTGGTGGTGAACAGTAAGGGCCAAGTCTGTACTAATGTGGAGCTTATATTATATAGTAAATGAAAAAGACAAGTAAGCACATAGCGAACAATAATATTTCAGATAATGATGAAGTTCACAATGACATTAAAATATGTGTGGATTATATGTATCTAAAGGTCCAGTGCTCATACCTCTGCTCCTCTCCATCCAAACTCTCTCCTTTAGAAATCTCATTGTGGTGCATTGAATTGTATACTCCAAAAAGATATATTGAAGTCTCGATCCCTGGTACCTGATACCTGTGACCTTGTTTGGAAATAAGGTCTTTAAACATGCTATCAGTTGAGCTAACATGACGTCTTACCAGAGTAGGGTGAGTTCTAATCCCATCTGAGTAGTGTCTTTGTGAAAGAAAAAATACACAGAGTGATGGACAGAGGAAAGACATCCGTGTAAAGATGCATCTACATGCCAAGCAACACCTGAGGCTACAAGAAGCTTAGAAAAACAAGGAATGATCTTCTCCTAGAGCCTTCAGAGAAGGCATAGCCCTGCCAACACCCTGAATTTGATCCTAGCCTCCAGAAGTCAGAGACAGTACATTTCTGCTGTTTAAAGCCCCTGACTTTTGTGGTATTTTGTTATGGAAGTCCTGCAAAAGTAATACACACATCTACTCTGAAGGCCACCACACTCATTTCTACACTGATGATTCCAAACCCATATGAGGCCAACTCCTTTTTCAGAACTCTGTCCAATTTTTCGAACTATCACTGGACATATGCACTTGTAAGTTCTGCTGCCATCCCAAAGACAGCAAACCTAAAACTGAGCTCCTCCTTTTCCCTTTCAAATCAGCTCCTTTCCTGACTGATTTATATTTCTGATATTATCATTCTTGCAGTCTCGCAAGCTCAACCGCTGACTCATGCTTCATTCTTTATCTAGGCTGTCATGTGTGAACTCTATTTTCATAATTACCCTCAAAACTACTTCCTTTCTTTCCAACTCCAGCAATGTCATCCTGATTAGTAACTCCTGCTTGCACAGTCCTGGGCTCCCTAAATTGTCTCTTCTGTCTAGGACTCTACTTTGGCCAGTCTCTATCCTTTTCTTCCAGTCCATGCAGTACCAGCAGGTTACACTCTATAAAGCACTGCACTGATCACATATCTCTGTCCAAGAACCTTGAGTGTCTCCATGTTGCCTACAGGACAAAATCTGAATATCTCTAGCTGACTTTGTAGGATTTATTCTCAGCCTCCCTTTCTAAGCAATCTCTCCAACTTCTTCCCAGTATGAATGCTACATCCAAAGAAGACATAAAAATGATAGGGGAATAACTAGACCAGACTATGCTGTTATTAAAAAATAAAGTTATTGTCACAAAACTAGAAAAAACATTTTTTATTTCATATATTAGACAAAATCTGTGTATGATGATGGTTTTAATGACTTTATATTTTTATACTAAAACAAAAAATTTAATGAAGGCACAATTGAGTTTATACTAGCCAAAATTTTTCATCTCTGAGGAGGAAAAAATAAAAAAAAACTGTGAAAATTAAGTTTATAAAGAAACAAATCACAAATAAGATTGTAAATAAGAATATCTGGCAAGGAATGTAACTGGCACAATCAAAATCACCACTCTGAATAAAATGGCCCAACTCCCCTTATACTTGATCTGCTCTTTTTTAAGAGAAATGCATAGGGCCTATGTGAACAAAATAACTGAGTTTAACTGAGAGATGTAGACTAAAACTCGAATAATTGGAGAGAATATTTTTCCAGCTATAAGGATAACAACATAAACATACTGGTTTTTCCTAAATCAATTTATAGGTTGATTTTTTTTTTTTTTTTTTGTAATCTACTCTTTTCCACTTTCAACAATATAAAATGTTTTTAAAACAAGCTGTAGAAAATTCACTTTAGTTTTATTGATTTATTTATTGAATTACATATATGTGTACATACACGTATGTATGTTATGTATTTAAGTATTACGTTAGAGAACAAATCTGGATTTTTACTATCTTGATTAGAATATAAAGAATACATACTTGTTCCCATACAGACTAGGCATTTATTTACACAACTATAGTTCTAGTTTTCATTTCAGCCAAGAAGATGAAAAAATAATAATAAATAAATAAATTTTAAAAAGAAATAAATTTCCCATGTAGATAGACAGCATTCACCTCCCTGGGGAGAAAGAAAAAGAAAGGAAACATTCTGCAATGAATTATTCTCACATGAATGTGATATAGTATTATATGAATCAGATCCAACTCAACAGCAGTGAATTTCTGGAGTTTTCCTGATGATTACAACTTGACTATCCAATTGTTAGATAATCTTATTTAAAATATTTAATATGATGTGTTACTGAAAGGAAAGATACTTAAAAATCATAAGGCTCCATTTCTGATAGAAGTGCACATATATAAAACTTCCCTAAATAGTAAGACTCAAACACCAAGAGAATATAGTAAAATGCATTCCTGCCTTTTTTGTTCAATTAAAGAACATTATTTAACCTGCATATTTTTTATAAAGGAGAGGAAGACTCTTTTATAGATCATATAAGAATTTTCATATGAAATTTATGACAGACAATGGAATGTGGTTGAAAAATGGTAATATTAAGGAAGAGAGAAAATTCTACAGTCAAAGAAAATTCTACATGCACCAAGGGAAGCCAACAAACAAACAAAAAAAGACACCACAGAATTATCCAGATAATTCAAAGTATAATGGCATGAAACCAGGGATAACATCTTTGAGATGACAAGTTTTTTCTTATCCTTGTTAGACTTGTTTTAAAAGTGTATTTGTAAGCTTAAATTTTTCACTACTGGTAATAAAATCTTCTTTTCTAGAAGCTTCATTTAACTGAGGGAGCTTTTTGAGTAGGAAGGAAAAATAGTTTCATTTAAATCTGCAGACTTAGCATGTCCTCCAAGACTTTAATAGGAATAAGAGTTATATTTAAGATATTTGGTCTTGAAAAAGCAAAATTATTAGTGTTTAAAGATAGCCTCTTATATGTGCTTGATATTTTTGTTTTCTTCACTTCAAAACATGCAGGTGCAATGTCATAATATCTGCAGATGTTGATTTCTGATTATAGAACTCTTATCTTCTGCAAAGCATGGCTTAATTTATATCTGCCATGGAAATGAAGAATGCAACACATTTTAGATTCAAATAAAGATAAGTTGCTAATGTCCTATTTTGATTATAATCATTTTTCTTAGGCTTCCACTTCACTTACAGTATATTAAATGCCTCTTGAAATAAACGTTTTGGTAGCCAGTAGAGGATATGTAAATGGTTTACCTGATGGTTTATGATGCTTTAAAGTGACCTTATTTGTATGAAAATAAGTCAAAGTTGGGTAGTCATAGTATGGTGTGGTAGACTGAATATGATCCCCAAAGATGTCCACATCCTAATCACCAAATGCATATGTTAATATGCATGGTAAAAGGGATTTTGCTGATGTGATTGAGTAAAGGCTCGTAAGATAAAAAGACTAACCTGGACTATCCAGGTGGACTTGATGTACTCACAGGGTTCCTTATAAGAGAGAGGCAAGAGAATCAAAGGCAGAAGGAGATGGGATAATGAAAGCAGGGGTTAGATTGATGTGCTCTGAAGATGAAGGAACAGGCCCCTAGCCAATGTCAGCGACCTGTAGAATCTTGAAAAAACAAAGAAATAGATTCTCCTCTACATCATCCAGAAGGAAACACCCCTGCAGACTCATTTTAGACTTCTGACCTCCAGAACTGTAAGAGTATATACTTGTTCTAGCCACTAAGTTTATATGGATTACACCTCAACATAAAGAAAACAAAAATCCTCACAAGTAGACCAATAAGCAACATCAAAATAAACGGAGGAAAAAAAATGATGTTGTCAGGAACTTCATTTTACTTGGATCCACAGTCAGCACCCATGGAAGCAATAGTCAAGAAATAAGACATCATATTGTGCTGGGAAAATCTCCTACAAAAGACTTCTTCAAAGTGTTAAGGAACAAAGATGTCACTCTGAAGACTTAGGTGTGCCTAACCCAATCACCTCATGTGTGTGTGAAAGCTGGACAACAAATAAGAAAGACCAAGAAGAGTTGATGCCTTTGAATTGTGGTGTTAATGAGGAATACTGAAAATACCATGGACTGCCAGAAGAATGAGCAAATCTGTCCTGGAAGAAGAGTAGCCAGAATGCACCTTGGAGGTAAATGAGACTGGCCAGACTTCGTGTCACCTACTTTGGTCATGTTGTCAGAAGGGAACAGTCACAGGAGAAGGATATCATGTTTAGTAAAGTAGAGGGTCAGCAACAAAGGGGAAGACTCTCAAAGAGATGGATTAGCACAGTGGCTACAACAATGGGCATAAGTTTAGCAAGGATTGCAAGAATGGTGCAGGACCAGACAGTGTTTCATTCTATTGTACATAGGGTTGCTGTGTGTCAGAGATGACTTGACAGCACCTAACAAGTTTGTAGGAATTTGTTACAGCAGCAGTACAAAACTAATACATATACTTAAAACTATTCCATAAGTTACATATAAAAAGTAACAGTAAAAAAAATGCAATTGTGATCTACTTCAAATAATAATAATATACATTAACAGGAAAATCAGCATACAGTGCTTCAAAGAGCATTGGTTTTGTAGTTAATACCCTTGAATTCAAATCATAACTCTGCTACTAACAAGTTATGTGTGACCTGAGTTAAGATATTTAATATCTCTGAGTGTCAGTT